AGAGAAAGTATATAGAGAGATGAAAATGAAAGAGAGTATACTTTTATAATAATAATAATTTGAGCTATAAATTTTTTATTTTTAAAGGTTTGATGGTGAGGAGGTGGGGGGGACTAGTCTTGAAGTAAAGTATTGAAATAAAGTATTGAAATCTTGAAATCTTGAAATTTTGAAATTTTGAAATCTTGGAATCTTGAAATCTTGACATCTTAATATCTTGAAATAAATAGACTGAGTTTTTATATATCCATTTAGTATGTATGTCTAGATATATAGATAAGTCAACTACCCCACTTTCCGACCACCCCCTCTTTTCGACCACCTCGAAAACCACACCGCTTTGAGTAATTATAAAATTTACACTTTGAATAACTCAACGATGCTTTAATCAATTGATTTGAAATTTTGATATTATCATAATTGTGATATGAAGAATAAATATACCGAAGAAGATATCGCAGAGGCTCTTAGAGCGATTACAAATGGAGCAAGCATACGAAGAGCTAGCTTGGATTATGGTGTTCCACGTACCACACTTCACGATCGAATATATGGTGGAGTTTCGCATCAAAAAGGCGCCCAAATACTTCAAAAGTTATCTCCAATTCAGGAGAATCGACTAGCAGAATGGATATTAGTACAGGAAGCTCTTGGTACTAGCCCTACACATCGTCAAATCAGAGAGATGGCAGAGCACCTCCTTATTGTACGAGGAGAGGATCCCTCACTTGGAAAGAAATGGATACATAGCTTTTTTCGAAGGCATCCTAATATTGGAACTAAGAAGCAACATCAAATCGATTCTGCACGAGTTTCAGGTGCTACATCTGATATTATTAAGAAGTGGTTCCGGAACCTCGCAATCCCTGAAATCAAGGCTATTAAGCCGGCCAACAGATGGAATATGGATGAAGCAGGTATAATGGAGGGTCAGGGTCTTAATGGACTAGTAGTAGGAAGCACTGATCGAAGATTTATTCAAAAAAAGCAACCTGGATCTCGAATTTGGACCTCTTTTATAGAATGCATTTCAGCCAATGGAAAAAGCATTACTCCCCTTGTAATATATAAGGGAAAATCAGTTCAACAACAATGGTTTCCAACCGATTTGACTCTATTTAAGGGTTGGAACTTTACCGCTACAGAAAATGGATGGACTACAGATGCTACAGCTTTAGAATGGCTGAAAAAGATCTATATCCCTCAAACTACCCCTATTCAGCCGGAAAATTCAAGACTCCTCATTTTGGACGGACACGGAAGCCATGAAACTACAGCATTTATGTTAGAATGCTTCAATAACAACATATATCTCTTATTTCTCCCACCACATACATCACACGTACTACAACCACTCGATTTATCTGTGTTCTCACCCCTAAAAAGTGCATATCGAATCGAACTTAATAAATTAAGTCTATTATCCGATTCCTCACCAATTGGAAAGCGCAATTTCCTTTCTTGCTATCAGAAGGCTAGAATAGAAGGTTTAACTATTCAAAATATCAAGTCTGGGTGGCAAGCTAGTGGTCTTTGGCCCAAAAATATGGCTAAACCTCTTATGAGTCGACTTTTGCTTGAAAATAGCAATAAAGAGGTTTTATCACTTAATCCTGAATCTGATGATGATCCTATTCTTCAATGGAATATACATTCATCGTTTATTCAATGGAAAACCCCTCAAAAAGGAGCCGATATCAGAAAATATAGAGATATAATGATTCAAGAGAAGGAGATCGATTTGCCAACACAAAGATTACTATTTCGCAAGATTATAAAAGGATTCGATGCTAAGGATTATAAACTCTTAGAGGCAGAGAATAAGATTAGAAAGCTAGAATATCAATTAGATGAAGCATTACCTAGAAAAAGGCGAAAGGTTGTGGTATCTCCAAATTCGAAGTTCGCAGGGATTAGAGCTATAAGGCGTACACAAATTGAAGCGGGAGATCGTGAAATTGAGGGAGATGATAGCTCTAGTGCTATAGAAAGTGATTCTACAGGCGATTTTATTGAAGTTCAATAGTTATTGAGTTATTAAAGTTTTAAGTGTAGATAATATGATTTTTTTAGGTGGTCGGAAACAGGGGGTGGTCGGAAAGTGGGGTAGTTGACTTATATATATAAATAATATATATATATCTACTAAGTACCTATCTAAGTATATAGATATCGAAGTATTTAAGTATCTAATTATCTAGATAGTTATTGGTTTATAGGATATACTTTTGGTAAGATCCTGATGAGATTCTATAATGAGATTTAACAACGAGATTTAATAACGAGATTTCACAATGAGATTTCACAATGATATTCCTAGATGAATATAGATATAGATATAGATATAAAAGAGAAGAAGAAGAAGAAGAAGAATATATCAATTCTAGAGAAAATGAAATCAATAGAACCAGGAATATGAATGAGAATGTGAATATGCTAAGAAGGTATCGAGCAATAAGTAATGAATTATACAATACTATATTGAAATCTGACTAAAACTAATCTTATACCCTCACTAATTCAAATTATATCCAGCTTATCATATCTTATTTCTCTATAATTATGAGATTGTAGACTTTCTATTCATTTTTCATTCTGAAATTATAGATCTATAAATTTCCCATAAACCAAGCCCGTAATCCTGATAATTATAAATTTACTACTGTCAACTTCCCTATAAACACCAAAGACTCGATTCTTAGTTTCTCCAAGGCTTTTCTGAATAACTAATCATATCCTGCGGTCACAGGAATAGAGATTTGACTGGCTGGTGTTTACTATGATATACTAGTCATACTAACTATACTTTTGATTCGCGTTTCGAATTTCGAATTTTGCATTTCGTGTTTGGTATATAAAAGTGAATAAAAATGAAGGTTTTCGGGCATATGTTTAGGGGATGTAGGAGGGATATATATAGAAGACATAGTTCTACTTCGATGCACATTCTCCACGTTTATATTTCTCTACCCGGTACGCTCTAAAGAAATGTTGAAATGAGGAAATGATTGAGTTCGAGGGGCATTATGATGGCGAGGGTTTTGTGCTTAATATGGATATTGAATGAAATGATGATATGACTGTTTGTCAAAAATGACTCGTAGTCTTCTGATACGAAGTAGAATGGATAATAGATATCCCAATCATATCTAGTGATTACTTCGACCTAGGGATTCCTCGTCATCCGTGCTTCCAATTTACACGTATAAAATTAGGTCCCTATCCCATCCACACACACCAAAAGAAACTCCCTAACCCAAAGGCTTAACCTTCTTCTTTTTCTTCTTTTCCCCACCCCCTGCCCCACCCCCCTTCTTCGCAAATTCCCTCCAACTCCCAATTCTCTCCTCTCTACTCTCCTCCCACTTAACCTCGCTATCCCTCTTTCTCTTTCTCTCCTCCCTCTCCTCCTCTACTCTCTTCTGTTCCCTCCCCTCCTCCTGCATTTGCGCCTTCACCTGTCTCCTCCTCCTCTGCTCATTCTCAATCAACACAAATTTTGTTTTCTCCCTCCACTCCCTCCTAAACTCTTCACTTGGTTCCTTCACCTCCGCACTATCTCTGTTCAATCCCTTTTCGCGCATCACCAGCATTCGCGCATCGGCGATCGCTTCATCTAATCTTTCACGATGTTTCTCATCCATTAATTCCGTCTGCGCTTTCTTTAGCCGATCGAATGCATCTGGAGCAAGGGGATTGCGTGTTTTATCCGGATGGATCAGGAGGGATTTTACACGGTAACACTTTTTGATATCTGATTCGCCGACACCGGGTTGGAGGTCCAAGACTGCGTAGCTGTGTGATTTTGTTAGTTCAAATGTTTGGGTCCTTCCGACTTATGTTCAATGTCGTTCATTTTCTTTCATCGGGATAATCTTCTGGGAAGGAGAAGACATACGCATCTAAACGAAAAGCTTTTAATATCCTATCGATCTCAGAATCCTATTAAAAACAGATAAAGTCAGTTATCATTCACCTATTGACCCAACTTCTCCGCGATTCCAGATCATCTCCAAAAACAATCCACCCATATACCTTCTTCCAATCCTCTCCTCGATCCTCCCAAGCCCCTCAAAAATAAACATACCTTCATAAATTCCTTCGCCTCACTCTCTAACCCCTCCAGCGCATCCAAATCATCCTGCGCATCCGCTTCCCCATCTTCCTTCTTCACCACTACCTCTTCCTGTTTATCCTCCCTCTTCCATTCTCCTTGCGCATCCTTTACCTCATCCTTCTCATCTCCCTCCCTCTTCACCCTCTTCGCATCCGGACTCGTCGCCGTCATAATCTAATCCGCGATTTCAATTTCAATTTCGATTTCCCAGTAAACAATTCCGACGCTTTCGAGTTATTAAACCTCTTATCGAAGAAAGTCAGTCGTGCGGAAGAATCGAAATTGGTGAAAAGGTCAAAAAGGTGAAGTGATTGAAGAATTGAAGAATGAGGTTGATAAGATTAGAGATTGAGATAGCAGCTTTAGATTGTCAAGCTAGCGCTCGGACCATTATTTAAGGATGCGAGCAAGGCGGGCCGATTGACGCTAGGAAGTGTGTATTCAGGTGTAGCTTACATAAGTTTTTGAGGGTGCTTCCGGTGAGGCGCCTTTATGATTTGATCTTGTTACTCGTTAGATGCCACACATATAACCACAGCTACACACATATTTAAGGTCACTCAAAATGAATTGAAACATCCATGGAAACGTGGAATAAACAGTATCTTCATTCTCATTCCCATACCAAATATCCACACGTCCCGATCTTGCCAACGCCATACGTACATACGTACATACATAAATACATCTAGACATTTAAGTGCACACTTGCATTTCCATGCTACCAATACCACTTCACATGAATCCATTTGACCCATGTAAGAGGATCTCGTTCTATCATTTCTCACATTATAACCACTACTCTTCTCCATTCTAACATCAATATCATACCATACCATGACTTACGATATGACATGACATGATGAGAGCTTGTGCGAAACCCTCACAAGAAATAATCCGCCACCGGTTTCTTAGCCGGCATGCCCCTTGAATCCTGTGGCGCCGCATGGAAAACCCTATATCTCCTTGCAGGTCCACTCAACGCTACTTTCTCTTTTAATAACGGCGCATTAGCACCATTCCCTCTACTAACTTCTCCATTACTCCTTGCCATGATTCCATTGCCTGTCCCATCCTCTCCCAATTCCATAATCGCTGCTACATTCCCACATCTATAGCAGTAATTTGGCGCAGACCATACTGTAACAATGCTATGATCGAAAGTCTCTTTAAACCCCTCCATTACTAACTGATGGGCTCGAGCAATCATTGAAAGGTCGTTTGTATGGTTGAACATTTTGACGATATCGGCTCCAAATAGAAATCCCGCGCCACGCGGGGAGAGACCCCAGCCATCTATCTCATCAGGATCGGACCAGAGGAGATCACACATGGCGCCTTCATGAGGGACTTCTTGTTTGCGGTCTAAAAGACGGATTTTATCGACTGCTTGAATCAGAGGGGAAAGACCTCCATGAACACAAAAAACAGCGCCGGAGGGATTGCCTGAGCTGCCTCCACTGTAACCTGAAGCTCCAGAGCCAGGTGCACCAAGACTGGTGGGAAATTTGCTTTGGGGGCTTGGAGAACCCTTGTCTGATGAACTCATTTCTGAATCTATAGATGGCTTTCTTTTCCCAATCTTGTCCCTGTTTCGTAAAAATTTGTTCATAATACTTCCATCAACATTTAAAATCTCGATTTCCACATCCTCGTCGTTGAATTCCTGCGTCGAGGAGGCACTGTGTTCACCGTTTGGCATAGATGTAGGTTGAAGACTGCTTGATGCTCCAAGCACAATTGCACCGAGAGCAAGATAATCAAATACTTCGCAACAGTATCTCCATACATTTGCGCTTCCATACTTTCGCAAGCATTCGTCGTAAAATCCGTAGACTGTTGTAATTTGTCTAGATTCGTGATTACCTCGGATCAAGGTCATTCGATCTGGATATCGTACTTTGAGACACAATAGGAGGAGGAAAGATTCTAAAGAGTAGAAACCGCGATCAACGAAATCACCTAGGCAAGTTAGTCAAAATTCACCATCTATGCCATCTAGAAGATCGTATCTTACCCATGAATAAGTAATTTGTATCGGGCACATCACCACCAACCCTGAATAATTCCATGAGATCATGAAATTGTCCATGAATATCACCGCATATCTGCATAAGTTCGTCAATATCGACCCATCACTTGCGCAAACTCATGAAGTCGTACCGTGACTGGAGCCGTTACTGTGACCACATTCCCTTCCTCGATCAACAATTCCCTCGCTTTATGACATAATTCTCGAACTTCTGCTTCTGGGATGGGACGGCAAGCTCGCAATTGCGAAATGGCTCTGGATTAAAGTCAGATTGAAGTCTTTTAAAGGAAGTCGTAGAAGCTGTACCTATCCAGATCACTCATATTTCTTACTCGAAGGTTTAATCAGGAACCTTTGGGAGCCAATGTATTGAGTAGAATCAGATTGGCGTCTGCGAAGTTTATGTAATGTCAACAGCTCCCAGATGTCGATGAGGCGCAATGTCAATTTATCGGCCGTTCTGAATCTGCAACCCAGCTCATTCGAAAGAACGAAGATTCGAATGTGAAAATGCCTAATGTATTCTGTCGAATTCGTTCCTTAATAACGCGTGAATGTCAACGGCGCATCGAGGTTCTACGGGGGCGCAAACGAGATGGCGAAATATCCTACGTATCTCAAGGCTGGAGAAAATCACTATTCAGGGAAGAAAGACCGAAAAAAATTCCGCCCAAAGTGAGAATTCGAAAACAGATTATATCGCTGTCATTAAAGAATTCGTTGATGTCTTAATTATTATGGTTATCGAAATTGTTGGTTGAATTATAATTTTCCTCAGCCTCGAATATGATAAGGTCCGTACTGACCTGACTGACTGACTCCAGCTGGTCTAGTACCTCAAGATGACGCTAGTGTTATGAGTGAATGTCGAAGCTCAAATCAATTAAGTCTGGGGTGGAAGGGTGGCTTGGTGGGAGCGTGGTGAATTTAGAGCCTCAGTACTCAGACCAAAATTAATAAATTACCCGATGATATCCCACCAGGTTTATGTTCAAGTGCGGAACCCTACGTCAATTTAAAGACAAGACTACTCAATAAATACTTCAATTAAAATTCCATGTCAATGTTGTCACATATAATGAGATAACAAGTAAGTAGCCTTTCAAACCCTGATTGAACCTCACTACTCACACAAATTGGCAGACACGATTCATTCTTTAAACAAAACTCACCACATTCCCTTGCAACCAAAATCAAAAAAACCATGCCGCCTCATCTTCACCCCCGCTCAAAATTCACATCTTCCCTCTTCGCAGGCACGCTCTTTGCCAGTTTCTTCGTCGTAGCACTACCGCACGTTCTTCCTTGTCCGGCACCGCGCGTCGTATATGCAGATGATGGGTCGGCATCACAGAGGCCGAGGAGGAGAAGGAGGAAATGTCCTGTTGATGAAGTTGGGGAACAGGGAAAAGAACAGGCGCAGCTACAGATGCAACTGAAGACTGTGGGAGGAGACAGAGAGGGGAAGACTGAATATAAGGATTTCAATGAAAAGATTCGGGAGGAAATGGGTGGTAGTAATGGGGAATCAGATGATGGGGAGGAGATAGAAGGAAGCAGGAAACTTTCAAAGCGCGAGTGTCCGGTGCCAAAACCTGGGGGCGTATTAGGAGGAATATTAGGCTTTAAGTCGAGTGTTGATGAGAGTGGCTCGAAACCACCGTGAAAGATAAGATCAAATTCGGAAGGATTTTGATATAGGATGGTGGAAAATTTGGGTACTGGCAGGATTGTATATATGGCGCGGTTGTACATATTGGGTGGGCTACTCTGCATACTTTGTGATCTGATATCAAGTTTAGGAGTCCCCTATATTGTGGATGAACAAATGAGATATTAGGTTGTATGTGGTATTTTGGATTCACAAGATATTCACTCGACGTGATATCTAATGCGAGAGATGAAAGGAAAACGATTCGCATTGTTGAATCGTTCAGAAACATCAGTTCTCTACTCTTCACCTAAAATTGTTCTTGCAGTCTCCACTTCAAAAAATAAATCTGCAAAACCTGAAGTGTTTCCAAGCATTTACAGAATAAAACTTCCAATAGCGAATACATGCCTGCAATGTCAGTCATTTGTCATTCATGCATACAGATTTGTGCTCTCTATTGCTCACAAATTCTCACAGGATCATCAAATGAAAATTGTATTGAAGAAGGAAGGAGTCACCTGCCTTTTGCACTGTATCTCCTTTCGTAATCCACTAATAAGCGAACACAAAATTCGAAACTCTCCTTGTCAAATAATTCCTCGACAATTCATAACTATATCACATCTTTGATCAACAGACTGAAGACAAAATGCATGCTTTTAGCAAGTCAAAAGTTTCATTAACGTGGTTTATCACCGGGTCACCAATATCACCAGATCACCATTTTTTATATTATTCAATTATCTCAATTTCAATACACAATATTCTAATAAATAATTATGAAAATATTATTAAAAAAAGCTTGAATTATTTTAATTATTGAAATTATTTGTAAATCTAAAAATCTATTAATTATTAAAATTATAAAAATCTATATAATATCTTAATCTATATTATGTAATAGAATCAATAACTGAAGTAATCAAATAAAAACTTAAGTGAATTATTATAATCTTATAAAAAAAAAAATGATTATTGAATATATATTTGATATGGATATAAGAGAATTTCTATTTAAATTTAAAAATATAGAAGATATAATAAATCATATTCTTAAATTAAGGAATACAAAATATATTAAGAAATTCTGAGTATATTAATTTGTAAAGTATTACTTAGAATTAAAGATATATTTTAATTGTATTTATAACTTTTAAAGAGTTTTTTATAAAATTTCTAAGTTTATTCAAAAGTGATTTTGATTAGTTTTGAATATATAAGCGAAATATAATATTCTTGATAATAATTTCTATAATTTCAATAAAATAAGCTTTATAATAGGAATTATATATACTAATATAATTATTATTAATATTAAACAAAATAATAGAAATAAAATAATATAATCAGATAATAAAGAATAGGCTATAATAATTATATATAATAATAGGAAAAATGAAATTATATTTTTATTTCTAATAATTTAAGAATAGATTTATTTTTTCAATTAATGTATCAAAATCGATTTTCCTATAAATTAAATTATTAAATCTATTTTTAATAAATAAATAAATAATAAAATAGATTTAGAATAATTGAAATACTTTAATAAATATATTCTAAATTAAAAAAAACAAATATCGAATATTAATACTAAATAAATACAAAAGTTATAAATCCATAATTTTTTAATTATATTATAAAAAGAATAATATTATATATATATATTTATCATTATATTTAAATTATTTAATTCAATTACTTGATATTAGTTATTTTAGTAATCTGAAATATTTATATAATATTCAAATTAATAGATTTATCAAAATATATATTAATTATATTTTGAAAATTAAATTCTTTATAGTTTTTAAAGCTATATATCAAAAATCAATTATCTCTTAGAATATAAAATCAGAGTTTCAAGAAATAAATTTAATATTATTTAATTCTGAAATTATTCTCTTAAAATTAGATATTTGAATTTATATATCTACCTCCCCCTTTTTTAATCTAAATTAATAAATCTCTCAAATCTCTTATAACTCAATTAAAACTCTTTTTTAATTAATATTAATTAAATTTCTTTATATTTATATTCAAAACTATATTAATTCTAATTAAAAATATAAAGAGATTAGTTTATAAGAATATACTTTTGAATATAAAGAATTATATATTTTAAATAGTAAATGAAATATTAAATAAATATTAATATAGAAAAAAAACTCAATTATATTAAGAAAATATATTTATTAAATAAAAGGCTTTTGATATATTATTTTAATAAAAGATTGATATTCAGATTTAATATAATAAATATTAAAAAGAAAGAGATTTTAATAAAGAAGTATTTTTTATTTAATATTATAATAAATATAAAAAGATAGAATATAATATAAGAATTTATCAAAATAATAGAATAAATTTTAAATTATTAGATTCTTAATAATTTTAATTAATTAATTTAATTATTATTGAATAATATAGATTTAAAGTGATTGAATAATATAAAAAGTAGTGATCTGGTGATATTAGCAACCCGGTGATAAACCACATTATTATTTATTCATACAATGCCAAATTATCAAGGGAAATTACATTCAGGCGGAAAGTCCACGGCGAATTTACGTGGTTACTAATACTCCGATTTTCAAGCAGCATGTAGATCGTGTGGTTGGAAGTGAAAGTGAAAGGCAAATTCTACGCCCACCACAATTAACTAATTAATTTACAACGCCAATATACAGGGAATTCCACACATATAATAATCCATAGATACTGATATGCTCAGTACAACTCACAGCTCACCCACCCATTTCGTTTGACCATCAAAAGGATTTATCTCCTGCTTCCTTGGCACCATGCCAAATGTATCCGGATCCTCAAGATGATCGGAATTCTGTATCTGGTCCCAATTTGGGGCAACTGGCATGTATGAAATAACGTCGTCCCAACTGGCAAAGTCGCCTTTCTTTGTTCCATCATATCCAGAGACACTAGCAAGTAAAGCTCTCCGGAAGTCATCTTTGGCTTTCTTGGCATCTACAGACATTTCATAATACGGCCCCTTGTGCTTGTTAAGCTTCGCAAGGTAAGCAACCTCATCGGCGACTCCGTGTATGTTCTTGAACCAATCGGCAATGCTCATTCCCATCACGCTAGCTGCCGTTTTGGCTGACTCGAGGTTTTCCTCATCTCTCTTGCTGTCGGATGCATTGTGAACCCAAGTGTTATGGTCCGTAGGGTCAAATCCAGGTTCTGATATCTTTTTGACAAGGTCATCTAAACTAAGACCGTTGGCCTTAGTCCAGCGCAAAATATTCAACTGTTTTGCCATTTCAAGTTTCTGTTCTGCCAGCTCCTTTTCTCCCTTTTTCGAAGCTGCTTCGGCCTTCACAACATCACCAGGTTGAATCCCGCCTTTGACAGCTGCAGCGTGTTGTGTGTCCCTTTTCACTTGTCTCTCTTTTGACTTGTACTTCTCGGCCAATTTCAAATAGATTTTCAGATCCCTTGCATCTTTCTCTTCCTTTGCTTTGATGATTAATTTCCTCTCTTGTTCTTTTCGATCTGCATCTGTCATGGGTGTAAAGCCAAGTGCACCTCGTTTTCGTTTTTCTGCGATACGTTTTCGTTTCAATCTTTCAGATGCATTTTGATTATTCAAGGCTGACGTTTCCTGAACTTCTTCATCTAAACGATGTTCCTCCCTGTGTCTCACTATTGCTTCCAGTGCCCACCTGTTTTCGGGTAATGTCAAGATTGTTGAAGGAGCGAGACCCGCAATGGGGTCTTTGATGGGCGGAATCTGGATTTCGTTTACATCCTTCCTCTGTTCATTGAAGAAAACTCTTAGACGCTCCAATTCTCGAACTCTTTGTAAAGCTTCTCTTGCTTGTGCCTCAGCTTCGGCGTTTGATGCTGGCTTCCACAGATCAAGCTTCGTTGGTTTCGAACCAGGTGCAGGCCCTTCGATTTCTTTGACTCCCTTATTTATTTCATCAACCAGTTCCTGTACACCCATTTCGAGCTTCTCTCCTTCTTGCTTTTCAATTTCCGCTATTTTCTCTTTTTCTCTTTCTTCTATGTTTTGTCGGAATCGTTTGGCATCGGGTGGGAAATAACCATCGCTTTCAGCCTGTCGTTTCAAACTCTTGGCTTCATATGCAATTTGCTCCTCTTCAAGTTCATCAAGGGATCGTTCATGGAATATTTCAGAGGAGTGCGACTGTACTTTTTCGGCATTTTCTCTATGACTTGCCCACCATTGATTTCTTTGATCGTTAGTGGGCCCATTCGAAAGGTCTCCATAGCCGACAGGGAGTCCTCCCCATGCTGTATCACTGGTTGGCTCAACCATTTTTGACCTAAGCCATGAATGGGCAAGAAAAGTCTCTTGGAAATGAAGCTGTGCGGCTACCCATTTGAGCTCAGCTTCTGGACTCTCGAATGGCAAAGGTCCAGGCGCTCCCCAATCTTCATCCTCTTCAAATTGAGCACGGTAATCCAGAAGATCGCGGTGAGACATGAGTTTGACAGCGCGGGGATCCGGTATACCTGTGTTTCTTGCTGGTTTGGCGTTCTTCCATCTTATCCACTTGAGATCTTGCTCTCCTTCGCCCTCATCATCTTCCATGATTTTGCCCACAATTGCATTCTGCCAGTAGTATCCGGCGGCAACACCAAAGTATTCATCCCTCAGAGTTTGTCTCAATGAGCTCCATTGTCGAGACCAATCTTTTGTGCTAGCACCAGCCGGCTGTAAGTAAAATCGACCGCCAACACCATGCCAAAACGATACTCCACCACCCTCGCTCTGTATGATAGCAAATTCTGGCAATGGGCCTGCAATTTCGCCTTTGCAAACTGCGATTCCATTGATGGTTAAAAGTCTTCCATCCAGGTTAGCCACAAAGTATCTATGCTTCAAATCAGAATCTTTATCACTTTCGTCATTCCAAAGCTTGATATCTTTTGGTAGAAAAGATTGTGTTTCATCGCATTTTGGAGGGTAGTTTCGAGGTGGCATATCCCGATAATACTTTTGCTCGGGTGCAACCCACCAAGGATCATCAAATCTCATGGGTCTGTATTCCTTCTCCTTCATTTTGAAGGATGGCTCGATAATGTTGTCTTTGCCTCGGGGGTCAACTGGCTTTAGACGCTCTTCGCCGGGGTTGACAGGAGTTGAAATTGCTTCGCATCGCCGAATATCCAAGGGAAATATGTCCGGATTCTGGTAGCTGTCGTTATTTTCAAAGGATTCTCTGTGATCACGATCTTCGATTTTATCTAGAGTTTGTCGATATATGTTTTTGGTAGGGATATTGAAGATGGTGCCTGTTACCTTGTCCCAAAACTTTTTCATCTTTAAAAGTGATCCTTGGTCTTTGAGTCTAGGCATGAGCGGCACGTTAGGTTGGTTATCATCGGGCACTTTGACTTGGCTTTGTGCATATCTGCAAAGGGGTCGGAGAAGCTATAATTTTGTTAGTGGGATGCTTCCTAAAGGAGAAAAGAATCATACAGGATAAGGACTTCTTCCACAATCCACACCACCATCAATCTCAAACTGAGAGTTCTTCAGGAAAGCATCCAGGTCCTCATCCATATCAATTTTAACATGCTGTTCGCCAACTTGCCTTGGTCGCCAAACGCTGTTCTCAATCGGATCGTAATATTCTTGGAAAGTCTCGTCGTCTTCATCTGGGACAGCGTACTCGATGAAATCTTTCATAGCGAAGAAACCACCACTAGATCCATCATCTTCGATTGGAAATGGTCTTGTGAGGTCATTAGGGTTAAAGTTTTCGTCATCCTCCTCATCGCCATCGTCAGGCTCACGATCAATTGCCGTCGCGGGTGTGTTGCTCTCATCAGATTTTCCCGGTCGCGCTTTGTCAATATAATCCTGAGGATCAGGCTTTTTCATAATCGTCGGATCTAATTCTCCTCCGTACGCTTGCACTGTGATGTTGTAATGCGCTTCCTGCCATGAGAGCTCAATATATCCCACGCCCAGTTTCTTGTTCTTCTCCATGCGTTCTTTGAATTCCTCAACGACGGCAGGACTCGTTCGCTTCGTTGCGAATTCGATATATTTCTCTTCCAGACTTTCAGCAGGTCGATACGTTTCACTCCAATTGGGTCGACTGGTTAATTTACATCGACGCACTTCGGGTAATTCTTCCCATTTGGCGAGAGCAATAGCGTACTCAATAGAACCCGGTTGAGCTTCAGGTTTCGGATCTTTCTTCCAGAATTCCGAGCCAAGAAGCTCCTGCACCCGTGCTTGCAAATGCAATGGGAGCTCATCACGAACGTAGTCCATGGTCAATGGTAGATACTCCGGCGCCCATTGCTTATAATTTTTGAAATCTTCCCATTTAGGTGCCTCCCAATTGCGACGCTGCCATTCGGCCAGCGCTTCAGAAAACTCGATATATCCATCTCCCATATTCCGATTTTGTTTAAAAATCGCCTTGAGATTCCCAATTGCACGCTCTTTCCATTCTCTCCTTCCCTGCGCTATCTCAGAGATACTCGTTTCGAATTGTTCGAGCGCTTTCGCTTCCGTCCGATACGGTTTCCCTATCTTCACCTTTTTCCTCCTGTGCTGTCTTCTCCCTGCTGGCCCCTCAAAAGGAAGCTTCCCCTTCTTTTGCTGCTGCTTGATATAAGCTTCCCATTCTGCATAGGCGCGCGCAACCCACACTTCATTGACTCGTCCTTCCATGTAATGATTATTCCAAATATCCCACGCGCGTTTCCAGGATTTCCACACCTCGTGTCCATCCCCGGAATAATTGTGTGTATATGGCGATTTGTATTTCCCCGACCCGAGAAGAAAATCCCGCACATCTTTTATGACGGAGGGGTGAAGATTCTCGGCTAGGGGGGAGGGAATGCGTGTTGCGGGGATGGGAGAGATGAGGGGGATTTGGTGACGGTTCTCCCGCATGCGGTGCAGGACTGCGGGGGAGGAGAGGAAGGGGGTGAAATCATAAGTGGTGTATTTGTTCTGGGGGACGGTGAGAATGGGTTTGTTGCGCGGGTCGATGACGGCTTTTGGGTCTGGGGCGGGTTCGGGGGGTTTAGGGGTGGGAGTGCGCGAGAGGGAATGGGTGGAGGTCATGTTGATTGATTGTGGATTGTGGAGAGGTAATGTGATGTAATGGGAGGTTATGTCAGGGATTGTATGATTATAGATATCTAGTCAACGTGCTAGATGAGAAGATGTGATCTGATGAGTGCTCGATTGAGAGGGAGCTGAGCATGCGAGAAAGATTTGAAAAGCGTGAGCTTCGAAACAAAAAGCAACACATGCAGCATACACGAGTTTTCACGGGATCAACGAGATTAGAGAAGGAGAAACAAGGTGAGGGTTGAGATGAAAGAAGCTTTGAAGGAAGTTTGACGCAAAGGAAAAATTTGAGACATTTTCTTTGCTGAGGTGCTCCATTCTTTGCCCATTGATGATAATTCTGTATCCGTCAATAGAGAGGGTTAATTGTTTGATGCTTTAGCTATACTTGGACGGAAAGGGATTAGTGTTGGGTGTGAGGAATGTTAGAGTCGAGGGGGGGGCTGCGAGTGGTGAAGTACCGTATTGGAGTAGATTTGAGTACAAAGGGGAGGTTTATGATCAAAGGAAATTGGAGGAAACGGGAATTGGGGATTATGAGAGATGTATATGTATGAATGTATGTAGATTTACAAGAATTCTGATATTTTTTGGGTATTTGATTTTGGACGTTCTAGACGCAGTTCTGAAATTCAACCTCGAATGGCATGGTTGCACCAGAAAAATCAAGCTGGGTCACTGAATCTGCAATTCGAGTAAAAGTAAGTAAGGACTACCTAGGTATTCACTCCTTAACAGATACCGGACAAAACAGAAAAAATAAAACACTTTTTGAATTATTCCAATCGCTGTCCGTGAAATATGTAGAAAGTGAGGGGTATCTGAACACATAAGAATTACATTAAATTTTGATTTCGCTGCGTCCTGCAATTGTCATAAGCCTACTCCATTTTCGGTATATCGGTCCATTACATGGAAGACTAACTGGTTGTCTACATTACAATCCATACCGGGCACGCAGCCCAATTCAGCGCGAACTACGGCGGGGTCGCCGCCGGCCATGGTCGTTATCATATCGGTTGCAAATACGCAACTGTTCAGGTTGGTTCCGTTGTTCTCGGAAGGTGTATTCGTGTATGTTGATGATATTGGGGGTGAGATTTGATGAGATGAGACTGATGAACGAGAATTGGGATTCGAATTTGTGTGGGATTGTAGATGGGAATGCATTTGAGGGGTCTGTGGGGAAAGTGTATTGTAAGATTGGTTTGATATATATTGCGACTCGAATTCGTAGATTTGCGGAGATTGGATGGAGAGACTCGATGGTGTGTTCTGCTGTTGTGAGTTTGGTAGTGATATTGGTGTCATATTGAATCTTTGTTGCTGTTGCTGTTGTTGTCGAGTGTGAACAGTTCCAGCCGTGCTATGATTTTGACTGATACTACTGTGTCGACTTGCCGCGCTACTTCTTCTTGGACTCATAAACTGTTGCGCCTGTGAAAATGCTTTGCCGGTCGATGTTGGTGTCTGCCCTACGCTCATACTCCGTGAGGGCTGTACTGGATCCCATACCGAATGGACAGTATTTCCACTGTAAGAACTCTCTCGACTTTGAATCGTCTGCCCCATCGTTGTTGTACTCGTTGGGCCTATACTTCCATCTGCACAACATAATTTCCTCGCCTGAAGTAATTGTTCTAACTGTTGTACCGAAGGACTCTCACTCCCATATTGCGCCGATATCATTAAATCTTCGGAATTCATTTGTAGATATGTTTCCACCATTTCATTTCCTACTCCATGTTGTGCTAGCAGACTTCGTAATTTCTTGTTCTCATCTGCTACTCTCCTTGCTGCCAACTGAATTTCAGAGGATGCTTCAATGCCTTGGAGCTCACATTGGCGCAATCGTGCCTCGAGCTCTTGAAGGTACTCTTTTCTCCGAGCGCGGGATCGTCTTTGGTTGTCTCGTATGCGCGCAAGGTTTGCCTTTTCCTAGAACATATAATTAGACTTTAGATCGATCAATGTACAAATTATTGATGACATGTTGAGGACTTGTCTCGAAAGGGCGTGTGGTGCATGTGCATATGTCAAATGTCAATTGAGCTTGAACATATCTTGGCATTTGATCTCTCTTCGCAATCTCCAATTAAGGAAAGACGACTTCCAAAGGATGAGGCATTGTTTACTCACCGCAGCCGTCGACATGATGGACTATGGAATGATCAAAATCTTGGGGGATTTACTCATTCCAAGTCATGCGCAATTGATTCGATTGAAATGATTGTGAACTATCAATAGCCGCATCCCCTGTTTAGCGCGGCTTGGATTTGAATGTTCCCAATTTTTCACACGCGTAAACTCTCCTTTGGCATGGATCTGAAACGGGGAGAATAAAGTTATAAGTAGACAGTAGGTATGGAGTGGAGAGGGGGTAAGATTGGTTCGGCAGTTGTGATTATTTATAGCTATGCAGTAGTATCTGAAGTATTGAGTGCAATATCTGACCCCTATGTTCCTCGCTCTTGTTGTTTAGTATCGCCTTTGTAGAGTTGACATCTTTTCCTCTAGCTCGTAGCTATGGTACGCCTAAAAGCGTGGCTGTGCTGTGCGTGCTGGGCTAGACGGTGTTGTTGGGAAGAGACTGCTAAGTGCCGACATGGGAGCTTGTTTTAAATAATAAGCTTTACTCCGTCTCCATGGTAGAAGGGAAAAGGTAAAAGGGGAGAAGGTATATGGCATCTGGCGTCTGGCATCTGGCATCTGGCATAGGGCATCTGGCATAGGGCATGTACGAGGGTTTGGTATTGGTGGCATTGGTATTACTTCATGACACCCCTTCCAAAGAAGAACACCTTACCTACCTAGTACGAAGTATACATTAATGAATTTGTGTTCGTTGACCAATCATGGAGGTGGCTGTGTATAACCAGAATCTGGAAAAGGATAAGTCTCTGGTCCCTGGGTAAGCAAAGCAGAGCAGAGCAAAGCAAAGCAAAGCAAAGCAAAGCAAGGTGAACAAGGTGATTGTGGAGTAAAAGCAGTAAAGAAGCATTAATCATAATAAAAGAAGCCTCGAACGGTCTCCGGGATTTATCCAGCAGAACCTTATTTTTCAATTCATCGGGCGGAGTCAATTTACCCGGTCGGGCCCATTTCGTAATCTTATGAAAATTACCGAATCGAGCGAATAGATTGAAGATGGTTATATACTCACCTGCCTACCTTGGTAAATACTCTGTGCAGTGACTGCAGTCAGTCCTAAACGTTTCGAAGAACCGGAAGCTCATCCCACTCCGCTCTCATATACGAGCATGTATGTATGTTGATATCCCCAGCCCGGCAAAATGGCCTAGGTCTTGGATGGAAATAGCTGCAAACTCACTCAAGACTGGTTGAACAAACTTCGGGAGTCCTGATACCGGTAACCTTAACATTTACCCTTCGCTCCCGATGTCAAACTGGAAATCAGATCATTGATTTCTTTTCTACTTTTCTATTTTTGTTGTGAAGGCTTGAGGGTTAAACTTCTTACAGCTGTTCGGGATTCTCTAGTCCTTTCAATGTGTGGCCCGGGTCAACGGAATCGTTCCCATTTGCTCGACATGTGCCGCACTCATTCCTACCCGTCAAAAATCGTCCGAAACATTTGAATCACTGTGTGACCTTTAAATCGACATCGACGATCATGTCACATTTTACAATCTGGGGTTCAAGATCTCTAAGTGGAGATATCACAGAACTTGAAGTGATAGGATCTGTTGGTTTGGCGACCTTCGGGTCAATGCAATATATTGTTACCATAATCTATCCGCGTCACACAACACTACTCATTGGGGTCTGGAGAAAAGAAAAGAAAGACTCTGTACTTCAATAGTATCCCGTCTTAACTTTTCGTAATCTATTGTGATTCTCCTACCTCCCAGATATCAATGTTTGTTTGGCAAGGGGCAACTTTATTTCACTAGTGAATCCGTCAGTACTGGTTCAAATTGCTATATCCAATATTTCTCCAATTGTACCTAGGTATGCATAGCAAGCCCGCCAAGATCTTTTACTTGGGCGCAAATTTTTATTCGCGTGCGAAGAAGCTGTCATAGGATCAGCCATCTATTCATTATTCGATCCGAAAATCATCAAGAACGTATGTAGAGTATACACCCAAAGTCTGGCAAAAGTTTGACTGAATTTAGACACAGCTTTTGGTTTTCAGTGACTACAAATTTCCTCGCGAAAACTTATCATTTAATTGATTTGATTGGCATTGATAGTACAGGCAGATTATATATGCATGTATGACAGTATAGTAAGTGAATTGTTTTCCATGAGTACCGGGTTATCAGTAGTCGTCCCTGCTCAACGCTCTTTTTGCGCTGCAATCTTGTTCTATTTGGGAAAAGAGTATTGTGGAATTCAATTACAACATCGAACTGTAGTTCTGTTTCTTAAAAAGATCGTTAAATATGTCTGTTGTGCGAAGGAAATGCGGTTATGACTCGAACATATGGGTAGAAGACATATAGTATTCCCACTTCTATATTAACCACAAGCACCGGTTCCATTTATCAAAACTATGGACAACGCCTGCTGGTATGTAAATATGAGATATTTAGTATCTTTCAGTAGAATCAATAAAAATTACGAATGAACACTTGGCGATGGCTTTATGAGGTCAGCTCAAGAAACTAAAATTCTCAGCTATATGGTACATAAGTAAGTGGAGTGTCTATTACTCATAGATATATATTGTTCTTGATTGAAGCATGAAGAATACTCTCATTCTCGCTTGATACTGCGATTTAGTCTATTCATCGTCGATTCTGAATCTTATCGTCAGTGTCAGAGTCTCAAAATAGAGAACTTTCATCTTTCACCCTCAAGGTCGTTGTCTTTCTTTACACAGTAACGAGGCTTTGGGATCGTCAGAGTCGACTCGATATTTCATAAATTCGAGTTGAAACGGGGTGCCTCTAAAATGCCAAGTGGTAAATCAGTGTCCTTTATATCGTCCTATCTTATTACAATTGATGATCAAATGGCACGTATAAATTATTGACCTAGCGATCATGTCGTGCGTGAAGAGAATCAGTAAATGGCAACGAGTCGATATATTTTCGATAGCAGTACAATGGTTATTCAGAGAGTCTTACCGCTATCATAAGAGAACTTCGTTGCACGCTACCTTAGGGTTATATGGCACCCCAAGAAGCTAGCTCATCGCAGTACTAGATAAAGACTCGTCTGCTACTACGAGAATACTCCAATCTACGACGTACAACTCTTATACCGCTGTCTACTATGCTGTAGGTTGCTAACTGATCCCATCAACTATAAAACGAATAGCAAGAGTATGGCATCATTTCAATCTATAAGTAAATCATTCACCAATGGAGAGAGGTAATTTATGTATTCATATTCTCACCACATCTTACTTATGACCGTCGATTATCTTCTTGCCGCTCACACACTGAGAGACAAAATACAAATTTCCATCGACGACGACTAGATAATGCCGAAAAAATACTCCACCATCAGATATTACACCTCAGAGTACTAAGTCGCAAGAACAAACCCGCACGGTTGTCGAGAGAATTCATAGCCTTCATATCGTCCTTAGATCAATAGAGCTTTGGACTCTCGATTGCCCCTGCGCCATTCAGCAATCTCCTTTTCAAGTGCAGTGTGAATTAAAGTATCCAAGGTCTGAATAGGTGTGTTTAAATACTAGAATGTCTGTTGGTGATTTATGTATTAATTGACTATCAATGACTCAACCGTCTGTTCTCCACGGAAAGTAGTACAAAGTCATGAATCATTAGGAGCCTCGCTTTTGATCTCCCTTAATATTTAAACGCTCTTGAATATCAAGATCACGGAAAGCGAAGCAGGGATATCTACAGCGTTGAGGTTTCAGTTCCATCGTCCAAATAAGAATGTTCCTCCGATATGAGTCTTTGGTGAAGACATATATGGAAGGGGATATCACAGTCAGAGATTTGCTTAAGCGTATAGTTTTTGTTTCTCGGCGCGTGGGAATGGGTATGTTTCCCTTCTTCTTTTGTGTCTATGAAAGTCAAATCTGAGTTGTTCATCAAGTGTTGTTGCTGGATTTTATTGTTATGCTTGTTTGTTTGGGTATTCGTTGTTGGATGCTTGGTTAGTATCATTGTTGCTTGTTGTGTCGAATAACAAGTCAGGTTAGCACATTTTAAGTATCTGCACCAATGTCAACTCTATTATTAACGTCGCTATTCTCAACTATACATCATAACATCGACGGCATACAACTGGACAACAATTAAAGCGGCTGAGTTAGGTTTGAGAGAGAATTACGAGGAACACAAATAGCCTCCCTGTTCTTTCAGAACTGAGCTGCGCACATGCAAAAATTAAAACATCTCACGAACAAATCCCTTGCTCACACGTCCACTGACTACCTGAGAGTTTTGTGTGATGAACAAGTTTGAGTTGAACGGGAAGATTTATATATGGGGAAAATGAAACATGATTAAGAAACCATCACTTAAACGGGGATCAGTAGCTAGGCTTTAACTTCCAAATTCGATTCAAATGGATGAGGTTCATGATACGTGGTGCCAGAAGTCTTTGTGATAACATATGAGCTTGAGTATATAAAGCCCCCGAAATACACATTACTCTGTATGACAGTGCGAATGAAGAACAAACGCTCAAAAATCTTGGGTATTTCTGGCCTTCGAACACATTCTGCATATTTCCCAATTCCAAGAATCTTTATCGGGAAGTAGGGCAATGGAGCCCAACATAGTATGAGCCATCAAGACGGAGCTAGAAAGACATTCCACGTGCGGGGAAAGTTTGAATGCACAAATATACTCCGCACTCTGCAATTCACGATTATGTACGATATACCTGAATCTATACCAGAAAAAAATATTATAACAGTATAAAAGTCCCTTCTCTTCTTTTTACTTTTCTCTGAGCAAAATTGAGGAATGAACAGTTCAAACTCATAGGAATCTCCCGAGAAATGTAATAATATCTTTCAAGACTTGAATCGCTGTGAAATCCATAGTGATATTCCATTCTCATGATATCAATCCCCCATGAGAAGCCAATAACAAATGACAACGAATGTGTGGGATGTCTAGACATAACCGTACTCGAAGAATTTGCTCTCTGAAATTCCCTTCAAGAAAAAGCAAATCGACAGTGAAATACATGTCATG